TATATAGATATAGATATATATATATAGCACTCGTGTGATAAGAGATCAATATTCAACGAGCTTTCATCAAGTCAATGCTTTTCTACGGGGCGGCTGTGCGATGTGTCGTATGATGTGACGTGAAGCTGTTCTTCTTCCTGTCGACAGGCTCATCGTCGCTGCGTGAGACGCACTCCTGTATGGAGACGGATGACCTGACGCACGTCAGAGCCCCCCCTGACGCCGCTGTCGGCTCGCAATATTCAGCGGCGTTTGAGCTAACCTTGTCGCATGTCGTTATAAAGCGATGCCTATAAAAGTAACGTAAATGGATCGGGTCGCGAATTGAGTTATATACCATGCGTGCGTGCGCTATAACATTGAAAGTGTGTAGGCCTACGCGTTTGAGCGTAAACGAAAACAGAACAAAATGTGAACTATTCACCGAAACCTTATTCATATTGAAACGAGAAGTCTGGGTTTACACTACTGGATGCGACAATCCATATATGTATATTGTATATGATATCATAATGATCTATTATTATTCACTCCTGGTGATTCTATGTTGGAGTTGGTTGCGGCTTCACTGAAGATAAGTGTAGGGGCCTACCTGTGTTATGTTACCATGTTAGTTTCCCGCCGCTTATATTAGTATTTATATTAGTATATAGTTTATTATTATTATATTATATTAGTATAACGCAGACACACCTGCCTTAACGAGTGCGTATAGGGAAATTAAAATGTCCGAGTCCACATATTCCAACATGCTGTTTCATTTTTCAGAGGAGTGAGCGCCTTACGAAACTATATTTCCAACTTGTTCTACGAGCAGCTGTCTTGCAAAGTATATACGTTTTCATTGATTGGTGTTGCCATTTCTTATCCATCTTTCCACCTAACATCAGGGAATTTGCCCGTATGTATGTATGTATGTATGTATGTATGTGTGTGTGTGTGTGTATGTATGTATGTATCATGTATGTGTGTATATACATATTGTGAAATGTTATAGTCTAAATGAAATCGCGCATCCAAATTAAAGAACCAATACAAGCCCGGCCCGTAGACGTTTAAAAAAACTAGTTAATACATCCACGTGCACACGCACATAGAGGCGCGTGTAAAATGTGTTTACTGCGACAATTCCTGTTTAATTCGAAAATCCTATTTTATTTTCGCATAGCCAATATTTAAACACAACTATTGTTGTGGCGATCTTATTAATAGAGTAAAATTGCGATTCCTTCAAAACAAGTTGTATTCATTTAGAAAGTCAATGTTCTGTCGGTTTCAATTGTACGTCACGCTACTAAATTTTGTTATGCCGAATGTGATTTTTTTCATTTAGGATTGTATTCAGAGTAGTTTTTCAAATGTTGTTAACATGGCTACTGTTTGCTAATGAGCTGCGATGCAAAATTTTGTAACCTCGCATGTAATATTATAGAATACATTTTAGGTTTTATGACCGATCCTGCAGTGGCACGTTCGTTGCAGCAGTAGACACAGAATTTGCAAGGTTATAATTTTATAATTTTAAGCAGTTCTTATCTTGCTACTAGTGTTCTGATAGTCACCCACACGGGTCATAATAACATGGAGGTTACAGCGAGGCTTGCTCTAGGCGCCATGTAACCTTGGCTGATGCATGCATAGCAAACCGGAGCCAAGTGGGTGCATGGGGCCGACACCAGTAGTAGGCATAGTCCGGATAGTTGATCACATCCCACGGCCACCGCCGGTTAGCTAGACTCAATGCGTCAACTAGACTTCGACGCTCCGACGTCGAAACGTTTGCGTGTAACTTAGTGATACATTTGTGATGAATGCACGAGTTCTTTCCAGGAACGTATTCATTCCACCCATTTTGCCTGGTGGAGGCCACAAAGCCACGTGCGTGCTGTGTTCTGGGAAGGTGACCTCCATTGACCATGTACTGTAGCCGCATTCTCTCTGGAGGTGGGGAAGTGCCTCCTCCCTTGCCCCCTCCACTAGCTACAGCACTGCAGGAGGACGGCTGTCAGACACGGCACAAATAGCCGAAGGAAAAGAAGAGAAGAGAAGAGAAGAGAAGAGAAGACGAAGGGAAGGAAGAGAATAGAAGAGAAGAGAAGAGAATAGGAGAGGGTTCAACAAAAGAGGAAGAAGACGAGACGATGCCGTGGAGTGTAAGAAGGGGAAGCAGAGGAACCTAATGTGACGAGGCAGAGGTACCGACTAACAGGGGGGTTCGAGACACCTCGCGAGAAAAGCAGAGAAGCGTGGAGACACAACAGTTTACATAAACCTGCTGCAAATTATTTGCTGTAAACCGCGAAACATTATTATTTTCTTTTGATTAAAACCAACCCTGCTACAATAATATTGACGTATAGCTGTCGTTCAGCTTTTCCCGGCACTGCTACTGATTGACTTTAAAATATCGGACAGACTTTTATCGCAAATTCATACGTGCATCCCACACGCTGTCTTTGTCACACACAGACGTCAACTCGCCTCATCCAATTTAGATTGCAGCAAGGCTTTTAGTTATTAATGTTACATATGGCATTAACATTAATTGTCATCAGACCTGTATGCACCATTTAATGATAAGGATAATATGTCAGGGCTGCCAACATTGGGTGATAGGTGAGAGTGAGATGCGAGGGAGCGAAGCGACTAAGGGGGGAGGGGAAAGGGGGTTTCCCCCCTCCCACGGTAGGGAGCTTTTGCATTTTATAACTTCAATTTGTGCAATTTGGTGCATACTAAAGTGACTGTTTTCAGATATTGTAAGATTTTTTTTGCTGTGCGTGAGATATTTCAGCGTTTTATTCATGAAGAGATATTCATGCGAGAGATATCTCGGCATTTTGTTGCTGTGCGTGAGATATTGTAAGATCAGCGTGAGAGCGTGAGATTTGGTCAAAATGCGTGAGTCTCACGTTCAATGCGTGAGAGTTGGCAGCCCTGATATGTACATATTACATGTTCTCCCTAAAAGCACCTCTGATATCATCACACCCACACAATCTCTCTCTACATATATTCACCATATATAATTATTCATAACGATAGATTTTCGTGAAAAGTCACATCAATAGCGGATGAAAACAAATTATTACTATTCATGATCGCACGATTTAGCGCCGATAAACGACGCAATGTAATGCGTCTGCTTTTACCATAGTGTCACGTCATCTGTCAGAACACTGGCAATTTTGCTCACGTCCAAGGGAATAAATTCACTACTATACATTCTTCTCTCCAATGACTCGTTGCAGAGACCTGCAGCCTCTACCATCTTCACAGCAGCCGTGTTAGCACTAGGCACGGCTAGAATTAAACTAGCTTTCTCTTTACGTTCGTGGAGGGCCTCTACGGCTCTACAAAACAATCGCTGTATGATTGCCGGCGTATTTCCATAGAGCGGAAACACCCCGTACTGGTCTAGCACCGCTGTCGGCATTATAATTATGTAGCCGACGACGATGACGTCGTCAACATCGCCGCACGTCGCCACGAAGACGATTGAATTACGGTAGCAGATGAAATCATTTACTATTTCAGTTCGCTGTATTCCGGCGTGTATTTTCTTGTCATAGTCGAACAATGCGCGGGAAATGTTCGGCGTCATAGAATTCTTGTCCACAATCACTATGTCGTCTTCAGGTAGGGGCTGAAGATTTCTGATGACCGGCAGTCCTACATACTTCAAATTCTCCCAGGTCTCATCTACCTAAATACAATGTAAGAATGATTGATACACGCGTCTATTTGATGCAAATAACAGCCAATACCATTGCCGTTTATCGATCCTGATTAAGATTCAGAGGTGGGTACATATAGGAAAGCATTTTCATTGACGAATATTACGTAACACGTACAAACAAATTTCATGAGGAGGCCCTTCCCACATAAATACCAAGAATGCAAATGTTAGAGCAACGATGACTGAGCTATGACTATACAGGAGCAAATGTCAAGACACTGCAGCGACAAGAGACATCAACTGTAACATTTGGCGTCAAAATTGCAGCGACTGGGCAGCCACATTGCAGGCGTTAACGACTGATGACGTTAGGTCAAAGTTTATCTCAGGTCTCGCTACACAATGGCTAATTAGTTTCTAATTTTCTCTAAGGCTGGTAAGCGTCACAGTTGGTCATTGTTGCTGCATTGTATCTTGACCTTAAAGATACTGTTAGGGTTACGGATCGGTAACACTGTAAAGGGCATTGCAACATAACTACTCATCAAATTCAATCAAACTCATATCCATTACATACGAGAGATGTCTCTCTAAGATCTCGATAAAAATATTAATTTTTTTAATTCATCTCTAATTAATTGATGGCAAAAATTGTGAATTTATACAAACACATGTTTTTTTTTGCTATTTCTCAGAAAAATCAAAGAGTTGGGACCTAAACTTTTAACCATAAGTTGTTCATACTATGAACTAAAAAATATTCCCTGGAATTTTTTTTAAATGCTTTAATTTAGAAAATAAGTTGAAAAGATGTACAAAAATTTGTAGTGAATTTCTAAACGCAACAATTTCGTAAACAAAGAGCCATAACTCATAAAATATATTTAAAAAATTCCAGGGACCCATTTTTCCTTTAATATGTTAGCATTGAAACGTAACAAAAAATCAGAGTTTCGAGTTTCGAGAAATAACGCTTGAACATTCACCTACTTTAGCATTTTTAACAACCGCAATATCAGCACTTTTCTACATTTCCCATCATTGACCGCCTGTGTTAAGAATTGACTAATGCGGGGATTTGGAACTGTTTGGGTGGCTACATGAACACATAATTTCGTATACGTATACATAGCTGCTCATGGCTGCGATCTATCAAATAAAGTGGGTATTGAAATTTCGACCGAAATTCACCTCCTTACAGTATTTATGGGTTAATATAGTCTTAACACAATCCACAGATAAAAATCTATCGATAAATACTAAATATTATTCATAATATTCATATTCATATCTTTCATTCCTATACGAGTTGCTACGACAATGCATCCGTACCTGAACGCTTGTCAAAAGCCGTCATCACTGAATATGAAGATAATATCTAAGAACCTCAACAGACGAGAAACAATGCTACTGTTCCGCCTTCTACCCATTCTCTGGGACTGGCCAGCCTATTTGTTGGGCCCAACACACCCTCTACCTCTGCCAAACACATCCTTTCAGACCAAGAATTTCATCCCAGCCTACAGGACGCTCATTGATACATTTACACCACAGGTTAACAAGCCTACCCCAGGCCAACAACTCTACCACCTAGGATGGCAAGCCCACACTAGGTCAACGTCTCCACCCCTGACTGACATGCCACACCTGACTGACATACCACACCTGACTGACATACCACACCTGACTGACATACCACACCTGACTGACATACCACACCTGACTGACATACCACACCTGACTGACACACCAC